AATTTTCAATCAGTATATTGATGCTGTCGGCGGTAAACATTAATTCAGCGAATTTGCTTGCAAGATATTTGAATGACCTCGGTGTAATGTATAGCTTCGCAAGACCAATCATATTCTACAAGAAATGTTAAGTTTTCTTTAAGTTTATTTATTCAACTTCCTTCATGATTCTCATTTAAACCCTTTCCTTTATAGATATTACTGGTAAAAATAACTATATGAACCGCGCCATATTGAACCCTAGATGAGCCGTCAGTACTAAAGAACTCTGATATAATATAGGAATGAACGCATGTTTCTTTTTTTCGTGTTAAAATATCTGTAGAAACCCAAGGGATTAGTTGTACCCGACCCAACGTACCCGAGGGTTTCAGCATTGTTATGACAACGGAACAATCATTCGTTAACGCTATTCTAGCATAAAGCATGCATAAATCTAACACAATCCATACACAATCAAGCAACATCACTGATTTTCCTCGGATTGCACGGGAACGTCAGCGTTGTATGTGACCGTGACGTCATTTCCGTTTTAGTTAAGCAGCGTCCGGGCCACAATGTATTGACGCTGTGCCACGGGAAAACGTATATCAAAAGGTGTTTTAACAGCGCATGAGAGCGCTAGAATCTCCTTGTTAAAAAGACCTTTTTGGTCCTGTTAAAACACCCCGAAATCATGGTTTATAACGGCAGTTTTATGCTAGAATATAAAGTAATGAATAACAACATGGATTCCAAGAAGACTAAAAGCAAACTCACATTGCACAATACTAGCCGCAATTATAATACTGCTAATAAAGTTCACGAATTTTCATTGGTTTAGAGGCGGGATATATTTATAGGTTATTAACAGAGGTCTTGATGTGCCTTTATTCGATTTTGGCCCACTAAAAGAGCCCGAGGGCTAATACCGATCTTGTAGACCCATATCGCATTAAGGCACACCAGACCTGTTCTATAACCTTTTTATTGCATGTGCTCATTTATGTTTTGGTTTTCATTATAGAATTAAAAAAATCGTTTGAAAACATTGTTCAGCGACAATGTATAATTTATTTTAAAAAGCGAGGGACTTTTGACGTCGTCTAATGACGTTGACGTCATTTCCTCACAAACATTTGTTTTTAATATATTTTGGCCGTTATTTAACTGTTTGGAGATTGTTTTTCAAGTGTTTCTTCAATTTTGCCTTTTTTATCAAGATATATTTCAGTTAAACGTATTTTTTTCTTATAAAATTGTCAATCTTTCCGCGTTTTTTTTTAGCAACCCCGAAGTGGGAAAGTCGATATCGGCCAAACCGGAATCGGACCGATATCGATATTTGGCGCATCACGTCACCTGACCACAGTCATATTTACATGGACAAAACTCATATACGTTTAAATTCACATTTTTTTTCTTATTCTAAGTAGTGTGTTTGCCGTTGCGTATTTAATAGGTTATTACACAGGTCTAGTGTGTCTGAATGCAATATTGGCCAAGAAGAGGTATTGGCCCGAGGGCTTTAGCGTCTCGTAGGCCAATATAGAGGATATTACATGAGTGTCTTTCATATTGAATTTATTAAACGAGTTTGGATAAAAATAATAAATATGCGAGGCTCTGCCGAGCATTTTATTATTTTATTCATATCAACAGGTTTAAATTTTGGAGCCGATAAACCGAAAAAATTGGTTGTTATTTTGCCTTATAAGAACGCGGTAAAAATCAAGCGAACGTCCGCTAACGTTAAATGACGTCGACGTCAAAAAGATATTATACTAAGTTTATTGCATTTGTTACTATAAATAGTAACAAAAATGCTAAGGAAGTGTGCTGATATTGCCCAAAGAGTGCCGATATAAGCATGCATTTGAGCAAGTGTGCAGATATCGGCACACTTGCTAGTGTGCCAAAAATCCATATCATGACGTTCACGTCCAGGTTGACGTAAACAAGTTTTGACGTTGGAGCGCTTCAGATATAACTTATAGTTAACTTATCAGCATACACTACGCAACAGGATAGATAAAGATAAAATTTCTGCACATCTTTTATATGATTTTATAGAAATTTAATGAGCAGATATTTAAAATACAAATGTTTGTGGCGAACGGAAAATGTGAAGAAAATAGACACGATTTTGTTAGAAAACAGTATGGAGATAAAACATTAAACTTTGTTTAGAAGAATAAACATAATTGAGTGTCTACATATGCAATAAAAGGTTATGATACAGGGCAAGTGTGCCTGAAGGAAGATCATCGGCACACTTGGTCGCGCATTGGCCCTCGGCTAAAGCCCTCGGGACGTGCTCTTCATGTATACTGAAGGAAATAAAATATCTATCTACGTTAGCGGACGTTGCTTAATTTACCAGCGCTTATAAGGGAAAATAACGACAAGTTTTCGCTTTTTCGGCGGCAAAAGTTTACCTGCTGATAAACAAGAATATTACATTCGTGTCTTTTAACATTGAATTTATTAAACTCGTTGAATAAAATAATAAAATGCTCGGCAGAGCCTCGCAATTTATTATTTTATCAAACTCGTTTTTAATAAAGTTCAATATGAAAAAGACACTCATGTAATATCCTATATTTATTTGATGCTAACTAATGAAATACTGTTCTATCAATGAAATATATTCATATTATATTCAAGTCACAGTGTGGTGATATAGATTTGAGGGTGATATAAGCCACGCCCCACTCTGCGTACGTATTTATATAAGTCTGGATTCCCTAAACATGCATTAAAAATAACTGTTTAATTTCATTCTAAATGACATTATTCTCGATTCAAATGTCCGTAATTTTGTAAGATTGTTGACAATGAGACCGCAAAAAGAATATAAATAAATAAGGATTATTTTGCTTGCAGTGTTAACGTTTGCCGTCATATTGTTTACGCGCGCGTAGTCTCCGCGCTTCAGTAGTAAACGGTCTAAAAGCACTTTTCAAAAGGCACATAAAATAAAAAGAAAATGTGTTTTAGCTTTTGTCGTGAATATGAACTATATCTCACATCGAAGTGAGAAATGTTCATATTTTCACTCGCGCTACGCGCTTCGTGATACATATTTCATTTTTTTTCTCACTTCTCAGTGAAATATATTTCATATTCACATCAAAACAAACAAATATCCTCTATAAAATTCACTAAACACCGTCGTTTGAAAACTATCTAATCATAAAAGGCGAAAAAAAGTCTAAGACGCGAGCGTCGAAACGATAAAAGCGGCCCCGCCACAAAGACACGATCTGTTTAAACGAATTAACTATATTATTATTACTAGTGGAATAGATATGGAAAGTTCCATAGAGCGTCTGCAAGCAATTGGCACAGACTTGCAAAATCGTCTCAGGCAAAGAAGGTTCCTAGATGTCAAAAGATGTCATACTCTTTATTGAACCAAGATTCCTGAAAGTCTGCGGAAGTCAAAAGTCTGTCAGACCAAAAAAGGTTCATTGATGTCAAAAGGTCCTAATCTCTAATTAGATATCCTGAAAGTCAACGGGGGTCTCAGCTACTTCCCAAACAATCATATATGGTCTCATTGGTGTAAATATGGTCATAATTTGTACTGGAAACTAAGATTTAAGTCTGTGAGATTCCTTTAGACTGTCGCTGTATGGTGGGAAGAAATTTGAGGGTTCACAGAGGTAAAAGATCACTTCCAGTTGAAGTCTGATACTATGCCGTGCATTGTCACCAAAAATTTTTTGAAGGTTTCGAGAACGTAAGACGACTTGATAGCAATACCATTACGACAATGCGACAGTTCTATGAAGACAATACAATGCCGACGATACGATATTGCAACAAGTTAGTACGATGGCGATAATGCAATGGTGGTGAAAAGATATTGGTATCGTGATGTCGACATCACAATATCGATTTATTGCATTGTCGCCCTTGTACTATCGCACTGATATAACCACGATTGTCCTTATGATATTCCGTGTATCACATATTGAAAAATAAACTTGTGACATTTGTGATTCGCCTGTTTAAAAATTCTCAATTTTGCTTGTGACGTTTGTGATTGGCATTTTTACCCGATTTTGGTCAATCACATTCGTCACAAAAGTCATTTGTGACGAATGTGATCACATTCGTCACAAATTCATAAAAACTTGTGACGAATGTGATTTGTGACACATGTGGCCTAACATAGCATATAAGGCCGAGCAGGTATACTGTAGATCAAGCAATCATTTTACACCTATATAAATCGCCCATCGTCTATTTTTACCAAAAATGGTGTGCATGGCCTTTGTTAACTAGACCTTTAAATTTTTGTTAAATTAATATAGTGTGTAATCCAGGCATTGTTGCTTTGTTTTAAATTTCTCATTTTTCTTGTTTTCTTTATTTTTATTATTCTTTTGAGAGCAAGCAAGTTTCTCAATGATTTTATAAGTCATTTTGCTGAGCAAACTTCAAGTGCCTCGGAACAAACATAAGGGCCAGAAAAGATAACATATCAATATATGAGCCGCGTCATGACAAAACCAACATAATTGGTTTGCAGCCAGCATGGATCCAGATCAGCCTGTGCATCCGCGCAGTCTGATCAGGATCCATGCTGTTCGCTTACCAGTAGAGACACTGATAGCGAACAGCATGGATCCTGATCAGACTGCGCGGATGCGAAGGCTGGTCTGGATCCATGCTGGACGCAAACACACTATGTTTGTTTTGTCGTGACGCGGCTCATATATATTTAAAAAAAAAAGAACGCTGGTAAGATTGAAATGTTTACATACGTGAAGGATATAAAAATCGAACTTGGCAGAAGATAAGGAAGTTAAAATGTGTGTCGATATTAACTTACGTTGGGTTAAAAGAGAGGACGGATTTTTCCAATAATCTCCATTATTGTTGCGCGCGTTTCAAGCGTCTGCCAAGCACAGATCTTTCTATTTATGAAGCTTACCCCGATCAAGCTTTTTGTTCTATAGGCTTAATTCACGGTAGCAAATACAGCATTATATTTGAAAATCGGTCATAAACATTTAAGACTGTAGGTACTAGGGTATATATTAATAGTAACTAACAAATACAATGATCAAGATGGTTTGAAAGAAAAGTGTAGATTTTATCGTTATATGTGATTGTCTGTCGAGATTAATTCAACAAAATTATCATGGATCTGTTATGTCTTTGATTAAATCGACAATTCTTTAAAACGTAGATCTTGAATTTATCTCTGTGCATTACACTGGCCAATCTCGCGGAAATATTTATAGTATAGTATGTCTACAACAAAGCAGGATAGTGCCGTGTTTATAATGGACGATGTTCAAGTAATTGATGATAAACAAAATGAGAAAGGTATGAACTGGGGTAAAGGACAGGACCTGATTAAAAACGGATATGGAACCAGTGTTGAAATGGGACATCCACATAAGGGTCATGACGTTCGTTCTCCACATTTTGCCCAACCACTTGGTAAAAAGCACGATAAAAATGTGATAGTTCCAACGTAAGTTTTGTTTTACTGCAAATGAGCTGTGTTTTATTAAACTCATTAACCGAACGGTAAATTTTATTCAATTTTGCATACAGGTGGCCTTTAAGGAATAGAACTGACCTATGTCGTCATTTTTACAGTTCCTTTTGTTATAGACCTAGTGCCAATTAGGGTGGCCCCACAAAGATAACGCAGCAATCGGAACATCTTTACTTTTATTCATAATACGAAAACAGGCGAGAATATGCAGTTGATAGCGCAACTGCAAATCTTTTTATGTATTGATGTGATGGTCAAAGATAAAAAAAGAAACTAAAACTATTTTGACAGTTAAATTATGCTTGAAAATTACCCTACAGTATATTTTAACATGACAAACGGCCTATAATACAAATTATTGACTTATTTCACGTTTACCTTAAAACATGTTAAAGATAGCGATATTTTATGGGAGCAGACGTTTACAAATAATACCCGTGTAGCTTACATGTTAAAAATAGACAAAAAGTTTATAACCTAGGACGGTTATCGACTTAAAAGGCATGGCGTTTATTGCAAACAAGTACGTACGGTAGTAATGGGATAGTTTGTTTGTTTCATTATTTTACGCCTATTCCAAACAGTATTTCAGTCATATAGGCGGGTAGTTTCCTAACCAGCGTTCCTGGAGAGTTACACCAGTACTAGACTACCTTCCTCCGCGCTAAACAGTACTGGGATAAGCTATTATTAATAGCTTATCCCAGTACTACCGTACTTGTTTGCAATAAACGTAGTATTAAGTAATAGTTATAGTTCAGATTGTAAAAAATATGGAATTTATTCAGCTATGCCGTTTATTTGATATCCAGTACAACATTCGTATAAATTATATGCAAACCTTAGTCCTTGTCATTTATCGCCATCTCTTCGTTTCTCCCACTTTATAAAGAGGAAAAAGAAAATGACCAGTTATATAAATGGTTATTAGAAAAGAGACCGCCTGACAACAAAGACCGTTTTCATTTTACTTGAGCGGCCTTTGGCTAGAGTGTTGCGCATGATATTTCAACATTTTTCATTCGTCTTTGTAGACTTAATTTTTTACCCGTTTCACTTGAATGTTCTTTCTAGAGAGGATCAGCATTTTCCTCTTTGTACCCCATGGTACCGAAACTGTTTAGACAGTATTGACATTTAATTTTTGTCTTGACTCGTCTTTGTTAGGAGGGTTGAACTCTCACAAAAAAGAAAAAAAAACAAAACAAAACAGCAGCAGAAGCAACAACAACAGTTACAGGAAAAACAACAACACAAAAACAACAACAACATAGACCCAAAGGTCCGTAACTCATTCCGAATCAATGGCAGGAAATGTTATTTTTACGCCTTCCTCAGGACTTATATAATGGTGGTTCTATTTGCTTCATGCAATTTACGGTAAGAGAAAGATCAATATACCGCGTTGGATCTATATTCGGCCACCGATCGCGTGTACCCATTTCAATTAAGAAGTACCCGTTACAGCTATAGAGTTTAAAAAATAAGACGGTTTATGTACCTTAGGGTATAAAGTGGGACGTATTAAATCTATATTTCTTTTCTTCTAAATTGTGCTTTGTAATATAGTTTTTAAATAGAAATATTAGGTTACAGTATGCAGATCATGTCATGCCGGGAAACAGTATCGTTTTGTTATTTATAAAACATATCTCGGACCACTGATTCGTGTAGTATAAAAACTTCGGGTAGGACCTGGTGATAAACCAAGTTAAGAATAAAAAAGTCAGCTTTAAGTGAACGTAATTTAAGGGTGATATTGGTCTATTTGCTTGCTATAGGATATGATATGTTATTTAAAATGGAATATTATTTTTATTGATTGATATGACACTAAACGTGATATTTTAGTAAATTTAAAAGGAATATACTAGTAGTTTATATATACATTGCGGATGTTATTATATAGACTGAACAATAAGTGCAATCTGGTTTAACACATTCGTGAAGCTTCAATGAAGATCTCAAATTGATTTTTTAATGAATAAAAATTTCTGTCGACGCTTTGGTGAAGAAACTAATAAGTCTAATATTTAATTTCACGCTCTTTGGTATATTGACTTACACATCCTTGTGTTTTTCTTGCTGTATTTAAATAGACTTGCTATTCTGGAATTGTCTGAATACTCTGTTATATAGTGAATATAACAATGACCGAAATAAGGAGTGATAGCGCAGTGTTTGTGATGGACGATAATAACGTGGTCGTTGATAAAAATGATGCAGATGGCTTTAAACATATCACAGTGGATGAAAAATATCAGATCGGGAATGACATTAATGCATACGGGAAAGAACACCCGTACAAACACAATCATGGTGTTCGTGCTCCCCATTTTGTAGAGCCACTAGGTAAAAAGCATGGGAAAAACGTGATAACCCCTCGGTAAGTTATTAGTTAATAAAAACTCGACATAGTTACTTATATACAAAAGGAGATATTGAAATTGTGTACGGTAACTATCTATTCTAATTTCTTTCAAAAATTGTATGCAAAATTTAAGGCTTTTCACGTTGTTTAATCTAAACGTAAAAAAATAGAAAGATATGTGTCTGATGGACGCTTGAATCACGCGCAACATTCAGCTTGTTGCAAGAAATGAAGGAACTAAAATGCATTTTTGAATTCGAATAAAGTTCTTCCGTGTTTTACTGGGCATACGATCGACGCTGATTGCTGAGTAATTAAAGAAAAAGGTATAACCAATTCATTTTGTCAAAATAAACATAATCAGGCAGTGTGTAGAATAAAGAATAGCATCCACCTGAGCGGATAGTAACGTTGTCCCCCCCCCCACACCCATCCCCCCAGTACCACACCCTCCATAAAAACAGTAAAAGATTTCAAGTACAAATGTTTATTTTATACTTATTAAAATAATATTGATGTAATTAAATGCGTATTTTCATTTTCCATATTTTCACTGTTAATTTTATTTTTCACGAAGTGAAGCATATTTTAGGTATTTGCTCTGCATGGTGTCTTGTCGGACAACTTTCATCTAAATTCAGCTAATACACACAATTAAAAGATAATTCTTTCAAATCATAAGGTTTAAAACATAAAATGTATATAATAAACAGAAACTTCAAGTTTATTTCTATTGATACAGGATGTTTTTCATATCCCTTGATGAAAATATAAAAAAAAACTTGAATATCCTCTGTTTCATAAACAAGTTTATGAGGGAAGTAACTTTTGCAACGGGATAGTAGAATGCGTTGCTTGAATTAACTCCCTTATAAGTTAAAACTACTTGATATAAATAGGTTCCCTTGGCATGGCATTGTACACTTTATTACAAAGGGTCAACACTTTACATGATATCAAAGGATAATGTAATGTATTTATTATGATTTAAATATAAATAAAAGAAGGAAAAAACTTGATTTTTAAGGAGAAATATTTATAATTATTTAAAAAAAATTTTGGCCGTTCTCTTCACTCTGATACAAATTACAAGTCAGTTATATGGTACTTTTCGTTCTTCACTTGTAATGCATTTTAGTTTAATCTTTCAACGTTTACCTCTTAAGGGAAGTGTTGGCCTAGTGGTTAAGGTGTCGGCCACTCAACCCAGTGATCATGGGCTCGAGTCCTAAACGGGTATTTACCATGTTTCTTCATATGACATCAATACTAATTAATTGGTTCCAGGAGGCGAACCAAAAGTGATTGATATAAGTTACAAGAACACGTTTCGCAATCGAACTTAAATTAATATGTTTAAACAGTTACTTCTTACAGTGTCTAACATTACTTTTGGTAATTGTGTGCCTGCACTGGTCGAGCACATCGTCAACATGAACTATAATAACGTTACTTTGAAGATATTTACGAAGATGTTGAATAAAAAATCTTAAAAAATCTTATCATAGCTTATCGATCTGCGAGAGAAAACTAATATAATTGACAGCTTGTCGAGCGCACCTGCGTACTTTCGTATTTTACATGACCGTATCAAAACCAATATTTTTCTTTTCGCATCACCTTACATGATATACTGTATACACTATAGCTTATAACATAATGAACACATACAAAACATTGATTTTTGAGCCAGAGGCTATGAGCCAGGGTTATAAGGTAGGACGCTTGTCATTTCTGGTGTGGTATAGAAAAACAACACATCTCTGTCTCTGGTAAACTTACTTAAATCACACTCGCTCACTGTTGTAACAGTTTAATATACACTGAACTGATGTCAAGTGAATATATTCTCATATGAAATGTAAAATATTCACGATATTTCCTATATATAAAGCTTTCTGGGGAATTATTGGACGTGTTAACGTTCATTTACGACTACGGAAAACTAGTCTTTATATGTGTGGATAATTGTGCGTGGGATTTATTATAAGGAGTAAGGTTTTGCTGGAATATATATAATTCAAATTTTGATATTATTTAATACAATGTGAAGTGTTACGGAAATGAATGATAATTTATGTGATGATTATGAATAAAGTGTAGTGCTGTAGTGTTTTCAAAGATTGAATGATTAATACTTGATAATGAGTCGCTTCTTTATTCTATTATTATTGTAAAAATCAAAGAGAGGAATATATTAAATTAGATATGTACAATACTCATCATACTGTGCAAGTCACTGCTGAATTCGCAGAATTATCAGATATTGGCGTCAAAAATGACGAAACGAAAACGTCGTTGCTTTGGTAATATTTATAATTTATATTAAAATATATGTGTACATGTATATATACATGAATGTTATGTGTTGCGTTTATATTGGTTTCCCGAAGTGTTCTAAATAAAAGAGTAACATCTGTTTTAATCAGTAATTTTTAAAGTATTAAACATTTTCTTTTTTCTACAAGACAAAAGTCCGTGTATCTATGGAAAGCCTTTATCGTCTTATTTTATTGAATAATTATGTTGTAAAATTCAACGCGTTTTAATAGTGGACAACACGGCACTGACGTAATATCATAATACTAATTAAAAGATAACGCATATTCTAACATCTTAATTAAAATTGTGTGACTTGAATATTAATTAAGTGAATTATTTTCTTATCCTAGGTAAAATACATGATCTTTATGTGACAGTTAACTAAATAAAATAAGGTCATACTTTATTTCCGATGTGTATACTATAGCTTTGATAGTTAATTCACTTAACTACGACAGCTGTCATTTAGAAATGTAAAATTTTATAAAAAAACGTATATACCGCCTCCGTGGTCGAGGGGTTAGAGTCGATTACTTCTAATTCAGGTACCTCTCTGTCGTGGGTTCGATGCTTTGGTAGTTGAGCGCGGAGGAAGGTAGTCTAGTACTGGTGTAACTCTCCAGGAACGCTGGTTAGGAAACTACCCGCCTATATGACTGAAATACCGTTGGAAAAAGGCCTAAAATAAACAAACAAACAAACAAACAAACAAACAGTTAACGTATACACTGTTGTCATGTTTAATTTATGTGCCTCCTACATGAGTATCTCCCTTGCATGATGCCCTTTAATACTAAAGTAACATTTTTATCAATATTTTTCTTACAGATTCCCTACAAAATATTGAATGGGAGTAAATGTGCTTTCCGCAACTAGGAAACATTTTCTTTATATTCAACACATTGTCTGAACTGTTTTTCTAATAAATTCAGTTGAAGGTTTTGTGCTCAAAGTACTTTTTGTGTATCTAATGCGGTTACTCCCTTCCCTTGATGATATTCCCTTTTTTGATAATCAACAGCACCCAAGGCAATCTGAGTGAGTCTATGGAGGCTTGACTGGGCTTATTGGGATAAATCTTGTTAACTAGTTTGACATTTTGCCTTTCTGTTAGGGGATATAAAGATTTTAAAGACATCCTTTTTTCTTAAGCAACTTAAGTTTAATATAACCAGTTATAATTGCAGGCACGATGCTTCCCACAGTTTGGTGGATTCCATGGAAACGGTGACGTTATCCTGGGAGAACGTTAACGTAGAAGTCAAACCAAAGAACAGACCGTGCTGTAGAGGACCAGACCCTAGCGTAGTTCAGAAACGAGTTCTCAGAGATGGTAAATAAATTCATCATACACATTCTAGTTTTAAAGTTCCGCAATAATAAGTTAAAAGGGAAGATTTGTTATTGGACAGAACAAGTTTAAATCGTACAAAATTGAATCACATATACACCTGTAACGTTACATTGTCTGTGATTCTCGGAAGGGAGATAATTATGTTAGGCATTCTCACACCTGTGGAATATATGAGCCGCATCACGACAAAACCAACATAATAGGTTTGCGACCAGCATGGATCCAGACCAGCTTGCGCATCTGCGCAGTCTGATCAGGATCAATGCTGTTTGCTTACAGACCCTATAACAATTAAAGAAACTGCTGGCGAACAGCATGGATCCTGATCAGACTGCGCGGATGCGCAAGCTGGTCTGGATCCATGCTAATCGCAAACCCACTATGTTGGTTTTGTCGTGACACAGCTCATATATAAATTTGTCGTACAGCACTTTGTTTTGGCGTTTGTGATCCGGTGTTGCAGAGAACTACGGTTGTTAACGTTTAACAGAAATGTTTAGAAACATATAAGACATAATTATTGTTATAAGTAATATTTTAATAAATTGTAACAACGGAAAAACAAACATCTGTACAACATTCTGCAACATCTATAATCATTATGGATATAAATATGATGATAGAACGTAAATGCAATTTTTAATCCCGACAAGTAAGCCTAACGTTTATGTAACATGATTTAACAAAATTACACGGCATTATGTGCTTTAAACCGCTATATACTCGTAAACATTTGCTGCTGATTGTTTTGTGTCTTTTCACTTAAAACCATGTATTTGTTACCATTTAATTGAAAGAATATGAGCAGATTGCTATCATTTTTTTACTATTTTCAAGTGTATGGACATGTGAAGCCTGGCACACTTTTGGCAATTATGGGGGCAAGGTAAGAAACGATTCGCTTAAACAAGGCCAGTCATCATATCTTTACTGTTTGTCGACTTATTTTGTATTTCCATAAAAATAGCCATATAACTGAAACATGGAAAGTGTCATTAATGGAAGCTGGACCAGTCCATGTAAGAAATTCAGCAGATGAATGGTTAAACTCTCTTAGAATGATACTGTTAACCCTTTTCTAATGGTACTGTAACTGTAACCCGTATCAAAGTAAGCAGCCGTACTTCATAAAATGACATTTTCAAATATCATTTAACGTTGTCGTGATAACATCAATTTTCATAACAACCTTTTATTTTCAAGATGACACAATTTTCTTTTTCATAATACTTTTCCCTTCAAAATATCTGTTTTGAAAAGTATTTTATCATTTAAAATACCTACATTTTTTCAATAATAGTGGCTCAGGAAAGACAACTCTGCTTAATACTCTGACGTCACGAATTAACAGTGAATCGTTAAGCGCAGCCGGAGATATTAAGGTCAACGGTATTGATGTAGGCACGGGAATTCGGAATATCTCTGCTTACGTTCAACAAGACGATCTATTTATAGCTACTATGACAGTGAGAGAGCACCTTACATTCAGGGTAAATAAATGTAGTTTTCCTAGATAATCTCCCTTTAGGGATTTTTATTTTAAAGTAAACAATAAAATTAATGTTTATTTGTATATAAACCTAAATTACGAAACAAAGCATACACGAACGCTTTAAAAACATCGCATCTTTAACACTTATTTTTATATAAGACGTATGCATATGGAAATTCATCATTTATGTAAAACCTAAGTCTGACAGTTTGAAAGTACCATAGGAAAAAGTACTTAAGCACAGCCACTCATTGTATCGTAGGTACTGATACGAGAATACGTGAGATTAAACAAGTTTTATTCATACCACTCCAAGTCAGCGAGAATATTTTGTTTTCCTACACAAATACAAGTAGGACGAATGGTTTAATGCGTCACCTAGAAACTCAAGTGTTACTGTATTCTTTTTAAACGCTTTATTTTCATTGTGATGCATTTGCAGGCGTTGTTGAGAATGGAACAGGAAGTTTCCAGGGCGAGGAGATTAGAGCGTGTTGACGAGGTCATACAAGAACTCGGTCTACAGAAGTGTCAAGACAATATCATCGGAAATCCTGGTAGAATCAAGGGAATATCTGGTGGGGAAATGCGTAGACTTTCTTTTGCGTCGGAGGTATAAAGCTACACTTAATACATTGTATATATCTGTTTTTTTCAAGTGTTAAAATTTCAAATGTTTATATTTCTGTAATTACATGATGAGACAACAACAGTGTATATTAAAATCTGGGATAGAAAAAAACTTGTAAATACGGCTTACCGTTTTTAAAGAACACAATTTCACTTCCAGTTTCGTCATTTACACTAAGAACTAAGGATATGATTGGTCTGCACTATCCGACTGGACTGTATCATAAATTTTATCATTTTCCTTACAACAATTCAAAAATTGGAATCAGTCCATTCTTGAAGTAAATCTCTAAATAAGTTATAGAAAGAGTATCGAAACACGAGGCTATCTGATTTGAATCTTTTGTATCATAGTCAAACATACAAACACGTATCCTGTTGTCACATCATGAATCCCCAGAAAAAAGGAACCAAATGAACGAGCATCTGAATATAATATTTCAACAGCTTTCCCTTACTCTGCCGCCACAATAAATAAACCCAGCAAAAATGAGCCAATCAATGGGCATGACCTGTAGTGCGGATAGCTAGTGAATGCAATGTGCATGTATATGTATACGATTTAACTTTAGAAAGGTCCCCAAACTATGATACAAATGTTCTATACTAATTTGTTTCGTTTGTTCTTCTTTTGATTCTACTTAGTATTCGTTTGTTTTAACCTTTGAATGTTGAAAACAGAACTAGGTCAGCATCATTCTGTAGTTGAAATATAGTTTCCTTCATTTAAATAAACTTCTACTTTAATCTTCAGATATTGACCAATCCACCGCTGTTGTTCTGTGACGAACCAACTTCCGGTCTTGATTCATTCATGGCGGAAAATATCGTTCAATTATTGAAAGCAATGGCGGATAAAGATAAAACAGTGATTTGTACAATTCACCAACCTTCATCTGAGGTGTTCGCATTGTTTCATCAGTAAGTACATATGTACTGATGTTGTTTCATTTATCGACTTTCATAGTTGATAAATTTTTTTAACACATTTACCGACGTTCTCGAACACGTGCTTCTGTACTTTCGTATGCAGTCATGATCTTTAAATGTTTGCAACATATTTTCCCGATTGATTGTTTAAATATATAAATATATAAATATATAAACAATATGCATGTACACTTGAAGGAAAATGACTTATGGATATCACGCATATTGTACTATAATTGAGACGTGTTTGTTCAGTCTGAAATGATTATACAACAAAGCTATACGATCAAATATTTTTGATTCCTTGCACGATTCGGGTGATTTATAATTCAAAACAGAAAATGTTGACTACTAGGCCTTGTACCGGCGCTGTTCGTTTCATTATGATTCAAAAGAAGGTTTTTACATTGTATTTTTCAAAAATAATAAAAGAAAAAAGTACTAAAATAATAGGTGCAAAGGTATCATGAAACGTTTTTTAGTTATCTCCATAAAAAAATTTGGGTGATTTAATATTCCCTTTATCAAGTTTAAACCGACAAGATACATGCTGGCAACCCGTCAAACTTGAATTTATGCTAAAGACCTAAAATGATAAAAACAGTTCAGAAAAGAAATTGCAAGCTGTTGTAGAAAGCAAATAATTCAAAAGGGTTACAAAACGTCCCTTTCATTCCCTTGAAAACTTTTTTCGGAAAAGATGTTTTGTTTGTTTAATTAAATTTTTATGTAAATTTTATAATTTTGGGAATGGAATTTTTAAAAAATTTAGCAGGTTAGGGTAACTATGGAAGGGAAATGTTATAGTTTAAATTTATGTAAATTTATTCTATTTCCAGCGTTCTTCTGATGGCGGAAGGCAGAGTTGCGTTCCTTGGAGACTCGGCTGGGGCGCTCAACTTCTTCAAAGAGTAAGTTGAAATTCTATTTTTCATGAAGGAATTAACTCGTTATTTACATTCTTCGTTACTTTTTTTCTTTAAATAATGTATTAAATTGTAATGTATATTAAAAAGCCTTTAAGGAAAGGGGAGACCACTCGTGATTATTTTAGTGATTATAAACTTGTTTATGCCGAATAAAATCTTGAATACAGCAGTAGACGCGGTTTATTTGAATGTGATTACGAAAACTTTGATATTTATTTCAAGGTAATTGGCATCTGTAAAAGTAAGTACTGGTTAAAGAATAAAGATACGACCTTTTAAAGACTATGCTCATTAGTATCTCATTACTGGTACAGAAACCATGGGTAGTTATTCACGAAAGCCGGTCAGATGGACCAACCGCCGAGACATGACCGGAAATGTGTTAAAATCAGCGTTAACATTAACCTGTACAGTTATACATGTATTTAAAGTATATATGTAAGAATGAAACTATTTTATGATGATTCATGTTTTACGCTACTATATTTTGTTGTTGTTCGTTTTACAACAGAGCTGGCTATCCTTGTCCAGTGAACTACAACCCGGCTGACTTCTATATTATGACGATGGCAGTGGTACCAGGCAACGAAACAGAATGTAAACAAAAAATTGAGGTAAACACGCATTGTGATGAGATGTACCCTTCAAGTCATAGAGCTTATAATGTTATTACTTTTTTGTCGTTTGCAAAACAAAAATAAATGATTGAGAAAAAAATGAAGGTGTAATTCCTGTTCGGCAATATCCGCCATTGTCGTAAAATGATTACGCGTGTCGGAAGAACTTAATTTTGTAACATATTTACATTTGCTGTTCGTACTTACTACAGTGAATTTGGTCAAAGAGCAACAGAAGAAAAGCACTAGGGAAAGAAAACATGGACTGTTTAGATGCAAGATGCATGGCAGTAACAAACTTTATAATTATTTTCACGAAACATATTTTATACAATTGCTTGGCTGTTATTGTCATACATTATACGATTTTGTCATTTCAGGCAATTTGTGACAAATTCGATGGTACACCCAATGCCAAATCAGTACTTGCTGAGAACAAACGTGTTGCCGAGAACCCCAAACGTACAGGGATCATAGTGAGTATATGCGTTAATTCAAACTCAAAGACAATAGAACATATTGTACAGTGTGCTGTACAATAATGTGGGTTTTATGTGTTATTTACGCATGCATGAATGCAAGTTAATGAACCATTCAATCATGCGTGCAAGTTCATGGATTATTGGCGCATGCGTGCAAGTTCATGGAACATTGGCGCATGCGTGCAAGTTCATGGAACATTGGCACATGGTGCAAGTTCATGGAACATTGGCGCATGCGTGCAAGTTCATGGAACATTGGCACATGCGTCCATTCGCACATTTATGCAAGTTCAATGAACATTAATTAGCGGATGCGTCGTGCAAGTTCAAGGAACATTGGTATATACTACAGAGCAATTATTAATTGACTAGTTTAATCGCAATACCATGTTTTTACACATTGACACTGGGCATGAACTGTTTACTTTTGTAGAATTCAAATTTCTTTTATTTTCGTTCAAATTATTTACACACAAGACGATTTATTAAAAATGTTTTTATTTACCTTTGACATTATCTCTCAGGATCAATTCTGTACTGACTTTTTAATTGGATACTCATCTTTTCTTTTCCATGTAGCTGGCATTTAACAGTGACTCTAATCAGTAGGAATGTTTATAACTTGCTATTTGTTAAATCTAATATTATGTTCGTGTCATATAAACACAAATGTTTGCGTGCCAAATGTATGCCATTGACTCAATATGTTAAAACCATAAAACACATTTTGTTGTTGATGAAAACTAATATCTCGCAGTTAAAATTGGTTGGGAAAAATGTATTATACAGAACTTAGTATCTTGGGATTAAACATGTCTATTTGATTCTTTTGTTGCATTTTTTCTATTTTTAAACATATCATTTATTCTATTTTAGTACGAGGAAGCATTTAGCAACACATCTAGGTAAATAATAATCTTTTTAGCCAAAAAGATTTCTATTAATTTTGTAGTTTAAAAATAAATATTATTTTAAACGCTGGCTAGTGTTTTGTATTTATAATTAATTAAATTGCACATATTTTACACATACTTCTTACGCCTTACTAAATGACCAGAAGCGTTGTCTTCTATATTTTATAAAATATTTGATGTCTTTTACGAAATATTATAAGATTTTTTTTCAATATCGTTATGTACGGTTGTACATATATTTTGACGTGACGTCTTTTGCATTATATGAGCAATGTAAGCTTTACATTTCAAGTGCGTCAATGACAAAGTGTTAGCCTACTTTTTATGTAAACAGTTCAAATTTTCGGTATGTGATAAATAGACTATTATATTCGTGTAGGTTTATTACTAAATTTTATTGAACTTGTCGACTAACATAATATACAATGATCGCAAAATGCTCGCATGATATAATTTTATTCAACTGGTTCAATAAATTTAGTAATGACCTGACGCTCATGCAATATCTTCTTAAAGGTACGAAGCATCCTGGGTACGTCAATTTGCTGCCGTGTTTGAAAGGTCCTGGAAAACCACAGTCAGGGAGCCAATGGTAGCTCGAGTTCGATTTGTACAGACAGTAGTGAGTTTTATCTATACTTAGCCTAGAAATCTGATGTTTCATACCTTCATTTAAAGATTTATATATATACACGAAATCCCCTGACAAATGTAATATGATCCTGTTTTATTTTGTTTTGTGTATTTATTTTTACTTCTACGATAAAAGAATTAAAAACTGATGATATCGCGATCAGAGCTTTTGAAAATTCTACGATGTCAGTTTTTCCGATCAGTTAGGCAATATACGTGCATTTCTTAAAGTTGACAGATTTAAAGACAGATCTTATTGAAACTGTAGATGAATACAAAAATTGATCTAGAGCTTCAAATTCATATTTTGGTTAAACAATGGTTTATTTTGCGAATATCCAGATACGCTTCTTAATAATTTTCTGTTTTGATGCCTCCAAAAGTTTACAACGGACGGATATAAAAATTGAAGCTAGACATGTCTATATGGATATTCGGCAAGGTAACCTTAAACCGATTTATATCTTGCTGTAGGACGCAAAATAATGGCAAACGTGCGCAATACTTGAAACTACATCCGATTATAAATATGATATAATTTTATTTCAGTTATTATCAATAGTCCTCGGACTGATCTACCTGCAGTTAGACGTGGACCAGAGGGGTGTTATGGACATAAATGGTGTTCTCTTTCTCATGATTACAAATATGACTTTCACAAACGTGTTTGGCGTACTAAATGTAAGTTATGTATTTATATCGTTGAAGATGAGTGTCATTGTTTACGTAACACTTACGTTCAGTGACTTCTTCAAAATAACTTAAAGAAATACTTTTTGTAAGATTGCTTTCAAGGGGACACTGCTCTTGCTCGGAGTGAAATCCATAATGAGGGAAACGCCTATTTATTTACGGTATTGAATCACTTTTTATGAGGATGAACCACGAAAACAGCATATTTCGACCATGTTGTACCTGTTTATCTAATTATTATTATCAGTATCCTGAATTGTTGTAGTTACTTATCTAAGATATATTGTAAAGTTAGTGAAATTTTAATGCAGTCGTTTCCGCTTATCTATGATATATTGTAACGTTAGTGAAAATTTATTGCAGTCGTTTCCGCTGGAGACGCCAATATTTTTACGAGAATACGGTGTTGGACTTTACAGAGTGGACGTTTATTTCCTTAGCAAATGCCTTGCCGAGGTGAGTTAACTTTTTTTTTAAAAAAAATGGACAGACTTATTTTGTTATGTACAAAACTAAAGTATTGAGTTTTCAAAATCGTTATTTAACCTTACCAGATATATGATGAATTCAAAGCCGTTGTTTCTTTGAGCAACTCATTGCTGAGAACTGGTTGGTTACAGGAACGAATTCAAGAGTATTCAAACAAGCTAAACATCTTTCATTACAATGAAACTAAAATAGTTTAGTATAAACTAATTTTAAATATAATCCGTGCGGAAATGTGACTTCATTGGCAGCTTATAAGGTTGCATAAGTAGTGAAGGGGGGCACTATGGGGCGAAACTTATGGGGCAGGAAACTTATGGGGCAGGAACATTATGGGCTGAAACATTATAGGCTGGAACATTATGGGGCAGGAACATTATAGGCTGGAACATTATAGGCTGGAGAGGGAACATTATAGGCTGGAACATCATAGGTCTTTAATAAATAGGGAAACGTACGGCACGTATGGGCCTTTAATAAATGGATAGGGTACACTTAAACTCTCTTACAGGTTTACCGTATAATGCGAGTATAGTGTTCTAAAAATAGCCCTATTTTAACCTGTGCTGTCATGTATAATATATTGATCGTGTGTACTACACTTCCAAGTAAACAAATTTAAATTCCAGGAATCGTGTACATACATGAGTTGTACTTTCAATACCGTATATAAACTTAAAGGGTTGACAATATATGAAAGATATATTCTTTCGGGAAGAATTGTGTTGGTTCTAAAAAGAACCTTTTTTTTATTTTTTTTATTTTATTATTTTTTTATATTTTATTTTTTTTTAAACTTCACTAGCTA